ATATTATGATTGAAGTAATCAATTAATTCGGTAGGCATCACATTTTCAGTTGTGACCGATGTCTGATGAGATGCAAATGTAGACGACATGACACTAGATGAACACATTGCAGTTGCATTATTTCTAAAGGTATTAATACCTTGAAATAAATTCATTATTTCGACATCATCTTCTTCAATTTCAGCCGAAGGAGTAGGTGCAGAGGGTACCCGACTAACATTCGTACCCATTCTTTACGCATATAAATCATATATTCCACATAATATTTGCTCTAAATTATTATAGGCGATAGGTATATCAAGTATTAAGGCTTTATTGATTTGATCAATTACGTATTTAGTTCCCGAAATATTATATCGGAGATCCATTATGCATGCTAAAGGAAATAACATAGGCAGTTCTTCCCAATATTTTCTAAACTTTAGTTCCATAGCAATTAAAATTTCACTAAAAGTAGGATCATTTTTATATTTATGAAAGATTCTTGCAATTATATAAAGACGTTTAAGCACCATATAGTTTGTGGGATAATAAACGTCGGATAAAATCTTTGTGGTCTCATAAAAAGATGTCAAAAATCGCTTAACTTTCAAAACTAAAACCCAATCGGATTCATTCAACATACCATCATCATCACTTCTAACATGTTTATTATTATAAAAGTCAGTTATTAAATGTTCGAAACCTTCACATGACTTTAATAGCAAGTAGAGTTCCATCTATAGCTTACGTCGCTAACAAATGTTTTAGCAGTCGTCACCTCTAGTGCAACACAAAAATCTTCAAATACTTGTTTTCTACTATAAGATATCATAGTATATACTAATGCATTCATAATCCTTTGAAGTTCATCATTTATATGTTTTAAGTTATCTTACACAATTAAATTCAAGATATGGCACACACAGCGAATATGAAACAAATACCCACCAAAATCAGGTTGAAGTGTTCTACACAATTTATCGACGACTACCTTATTAACACTAGTATTATCAAAAGTAAAAAGATCGAATTTTAGTCTCGCAATTATATTATCTAATAATACTGATAATAGCATTATATATATTATTAGCATTGTGAGGAAATTCAATAAATCTAAAAACAATAATTTTTTTATGCATGTACCAAAGTGGATCTATATAGTGTGTGGTTGCAGCTATATATTCTCTTTTATTAACCCCTTCCCATATATCAGAAGTTAAAGATATAACACTCCCATATTGTTATAAATCCATAATTAATTGTTGCTTTGAATTATTGAAATATTGTATTGTATCAGCACGAAAAGTGTTTCGACTTACCCCAACGTACTTTGGTTGTAGATATTCTTTCACGAACGTGATGTAGTGTTGGTTGTCTGCAATAGCCAGAGGCAACTCAGTGGCGATAACAAATTTCACATTCCGGTTCGAGTATCGTCCTTCGAATACACCCACGTGGATAGGGGTGAAGTCGTATAACAGACGCCTGGACTGTCAAATTGCAATTGTGTTTGACCAATTGGAAGAAGTCCATGTCTGATCGCACATGCTTTGTAGTGGCTGTTGAGATTGTTGGTACCAATTCCTTTTTGTCATGACAATCTTTGTTGGCAGTATTTACATACTGCTTTAGATTTTGTAAGGCCATCGATGACTTTTCCTGTTGAAATCAACTTAAAGTTATCACAACATTTTGCTTGTTTTTTGCCATTTCGCTTTTTCCTCGCATCTGGGATGTTTAATTCGGCATCTTCGTCCTCATGTTCCGCTTCGAAAACGTTAATATCATCTAAATCAATTGGATTGTGGATTCCCTGACCGTGAATGTGAACATCTTTAGGTATGGGTACGTCATTTAAACCGACAAATTCATTTGGAATTGACTTTGCGACGTCCTAGGCGATTCGCCATGATGTGACCCACATCCCGTATCGAATGAGTTCTCAATAAATGAGCATTGGTCCATTTGTTTGATTGTTTATGATGAAATCTAAATATAATAACTAGAAAAATATAAATATAGTGAGATTGTGAGAATTGGAATTGTAACTAATAAACTGTAAAAAATGAATTGATATTGTATATTTTGCAGCACAAGAGAGTAAAAACTCGATAATTGATATAATAAAAGAGATTTGAGAGAGTTGAAGTAGTAATTGAAAAGAGATAATTGATATGAAAAAAAAGGAGTTAAGGGGTATTTATAGTAGAAGGGAAAAAAAGTAAAAAAAAAAAATTTTAGTGACCGTTTCGATCACAGAAACTTTTCAGTGACCAAAACTGTCACTTTTTCACTATATTTCGCGAGCCACGAGCTAAGCGACTCGTGGCTCGTTGTTGAAACGAGCCACGAGCGGCTCATCTTGAGCCGAGCCACGAGCGGCTCATCTTCAAGGCGAGTCGAGTGGCCTCCCGACGAGGCCCACTCGGCTCGCGAACCCGAGCAGTCACGAGCCCTATTTCGACAAGCCGAGCGATCGAACCCTTTTGACATCCCTACCACCACCTCCTCCACCACAAATCCAACATCTTCACCATACCACAACCAACCATAAAAATCCCCAAACCTGCAGCCATCGCCACCACCACTGCACTACTACAACCGCCTGTATCAACAATCACCACAACCACCTTCTCAAATCCACCATCTCTTTCATCTCTACCATACCACAACCATCAACACCTCACTAGACAAATGAATAGAAAATAGAAGAGATGACAAAGAAATCATATCGCACCAGAGAAACACAAATACAAATGAAGAAAATACATCGCATACGGCACTGTATGCAGTAATGCAAGGCGAGGAACCGCTACTGTGACGCTACACGCAGAACAACTCGCTACTGCGAGTGACACCTTGCAACAAGCTACCGTGCACGGAAGCACTAGTAAAAGAAGGCGTGATTAGCGTCGAAGATTATGGAATGGGTTGATCGACGTCATCGTCGCGTCGCTGCACAACATCACTGTTTATCAGAGCTACGTGTCTTATTCTAGACCTATCCCAATCAATCCAATTGAAAGTTGTCATGTTGTGGGCAGCCATAACAAGGCGACAAGATTCACAACTTATAGACTAATAGAGATAAAATATTTGATAAGATCACTGCATTTGGTGCACAAGAAAAATTGACTATGAGAATTTGCACAACTCAATCACAAGGATTTGCCGTCCTCTTCCACTGAGCCTCCACCATCATTCCAAACCTTAACTTCAAGATGTCTCCACGTCGCCAAAAAACACTTTTGTAAAAAGAGGATTTCATCTTACATTTTAAATCGTAATTTTCAACATAAAAAAAACGTCTTAAGAGGCATCTTCACTTGTATGAGAAGACGAGCTTCATTGAGTTCTCAAGTTTGACATGAAATTAAATTCCATGCTTCAATTTCGCAACAAACTTTATTTCTATTGCTTCCAACACTAATACAGATCATTAACATAATTGAACAATATAATATTCTAACTTCTTACTTTGCAGCCGGATCAATTATTATTATTATGATAGACGGGAGAGGTGCGATCCTTTGTGATTAATTCATTTAATGGAAGTGGGTTTGATTTGGTTGAGTTTGGTGGGGGTGGGATAAGAAAATGAATAACATTATTCACGATCGCTCATGCAATAGTCTCTATACGTGACATACACATGTCATGTGGTTATTTGATGCATAAATGTGGCAGTTCTTTATTGACTCGTGCATCAAATAACTACATATCACATGTATGTTACATAAAGCGATTGTCGCAATAAACGACTATAAATGACATCACTCTAAGAAAAATGGAGTATTTATTTTATTTTATTTGTTATTTGTTATTTGATTATTTTATATATATAAAAAAGTAAAGTTATCATTTTGCCCTTTTTAAAATTCGTCAAAAGGTAATAATACTCATTTTTCCTAATCAACTAATGGTCTTCTAGACAACATCATTATAGACATTTTGAAAGGTTTGAAGCTAGTCTTACCACAAATAAAATGTAACAATAAGTTTGAAAATTAAGTTGCAATTATCATTTGAAAATATTCATCACTTTTATCGTCGAGTCCAGCGCAAGAAGTATGAAAATTAGGGCTGGACATGGTTCAATTTGGTTCGGTTCTAACGATAATCCAATTGGATCCAAAATTTTCGGGTATTTAATAAGTGGAATCGTCGTGTTCAAATTTAATTATGGAACTGTTCGAGTTCGGTTCCCAAGTTTTGTATTATAATTAAAAATTTTAATATTTACAAAACTACATTAATTCAACTAATGATATGTTCAATCTCAACACTTACAAAAATGAAGTAGTTCAATCATATATGTCTTTTGCATCTTTCTTTACTGAATTTTTCATAGATTTAATTGTTAAAATCACGGGAAGATGAAGATAGGGAGTTCACAATAATTAAGAAAGGCGTTATCGAGTTTCAATTCGATTTATCCAGAATGGTAGAAACTGCACTACGGTAGAGTAATAGATTGGGATAAAACTTGGATCAATTTGATCAAGTTGACTTTGAATCGAAAATTAGAAATTAGAAAATCATATTTTTGGGTTTGAGTTAAATTAACTACTTAGCAATTTTATTTAGAAAAAAATAAAAATAATTTAGCTTATTTAAAATTAATTAATTAAAAAAATTAGGAAGATTCCCTTCTTCGATTCTTGATCTAGAATTTCAGATACCCGTTCTAGTATTTAACTTAATAAAAATCACTCGATTCTATTCGGTTCGATTCGAAAGTTTTGTCCAGCTTTAATGAAAATGAAGTAGAAGATTTGCACATGGGCAATATAAAAATTAGCCCATACTTGTTTCTCATTCTTTTCTCATTAAAATACAAAATATGATTATTATTTATCATATCAAATTATCATATTTAAATTTTTATCTCTTGTATAAGGTTCGTAACGACTATATTTATTATTCACATTCTTACGAAACGCGGCCTTAAATTTTTTGAAGTACTAAAAGAATCAGATCGAACCAGAACAAATCGATTTTGGTCCACTAATTTTTTTTTTTTTTGGCCTTTTTCCCCGCAAGTGGCAATTCTTCGCGCTTTTACGTGATCCATATCTACCCGCCACTATTTCTATTTGGAATCAGCATAATTCTCCAGAATCTCTCTCTAGTTATAATTGTCCATTTTGTATATGAACTCTATAAACTAACCAAAATTCTTTATATAATTCCTAGTTTCAATTTATATTTTGCTTTATACGTTAGAAAAAATATCATGTCTGCAGCAGTTGAAATGATTGGTCATCAACTGATCAATGATGTTCGAAATCTCTCGATCCAGAATGAGGTTTTCACTTTTTTCGTTTTTAGTTTTTACCCCATTTTTTTGGGTATTTCAGGTAATTGGAGAGAACAAATCTTGAAAATTTTGGTCTGTATTATTATTAATGTTTGATTTGGTGTCGATTTATTCTATTTTTTTCCCTACATTTTGATCGTGTGAATTGTGGGAAAAGGTCTTTTGTTAATCTGGTTTGATAATATCTGTTTTTGCTTCATATTTGGACTGAGATCAAATGATGATAAGGGTTTTTGTTTTCTATAATTTCAAATGCGAGAATATTCGAATGCGGATTCGAGTTTTTTTTTTTTTTTTGCTTTTCTATTTCTCTCTGAAGATATGTTTTCCTACGGATATTTGTTAGTTGACCAGTCTTGGTTTGGGTGTATCTGATCTTGGCTCTCTTGATCCGGTTGAAGAGAGTGATCGAGATGTAGAGTTTATTGCTTTGCTAAGCTGTAGTCTTAGGATAAAATATGATCAATATGAATATGGAGAGTGGATATTGAAGCCCGCCTCTCCGTCCTGCGATGACATGTATTAGTTGATCAGTTTTCTAGAAATACGAAATTGATTTTGCTGAATCTGCTATACATTTTTCCCTGTAAACTATAAGCTAGCTGTATCAATGTCAATAGATTACTATTTGTCAGTGTTTATGAAACTCAAAATGCTTTTATCTATTGAAATTCCTTTCACCTTTTTGAGAATTTTCAGTCCTAACTCATTAAACCATTATCTTTGTGCAATGCGGTAGATATCTGAATTGGTTTTGTGAATTGATTGAGTTGAATTTGCAATTTCAGAGTGAAGTTAAGGGGAATTGTACAGCAGCTCCAGAGGAAATTCTCCAAGCGGATTGTGAGACTAACAATATTAATGACACTAATCATCATGGTGTTTGTGCAATATGTTTGGATAAGATAGCTCTTCAGGAAACAGCTCTTGTAAAAGGTTGCGAGCATGCCTACTGGTTTGTCTGAATCTGCTATTTATTTACCTGCGTTCTTGAAATTCTCGTGTTTGCTAGTGCTGATAAAGTTCTCTGTTAGAGACCTTACTTAGCCCATGCGATGAATGTCCTTCTGGGTATTTTTTTTATTTTTTATTTTTTGCAATAGACACATTACCAACTCAAAACCTTTCCGATCATTGTATCAACCTTGGTCCCACAAAAGGAAAAAGAAAAAAATAGAAAAAAGCAACCTATTTCGGAGAAAGTTAGATTCTATTGTCTTTAGTAGTGACTCACCATTCTAATTCTCAAATTTGATTGTTACAACTTACATAGTCAAACTATGAGTGATTAGGTTTCGTTTGTTCTTCTGTATTTTGTATTTTGAGCATGTCCCTCTGGTTGTTACTTTTGTGAGAACTACAAGTCCAACTTCATTCTTTAAATACAATTTTTAGGTATGTTCAATGCATTTACCACGATATTTCCATGTTCATTCATATGAGATCTATAGTGGAGTACAAAAGCTATGTTTGCTTCTTATAATTAAGAAAAATGTTTTCTTGCATATTTGGCTAGAATCTTTGGCATACTCAGAGCAAAATGTTTTGCATGTCTTTATGAATATGACGATCTACGAGGTAGTTACTGTACGTCGATCAATGAATTATATCGGACGTATCATTTTATATATTGCAGTTAGAATATTATTTGGTTTGCATTTCAGTGCATGTTTTTGAATATCTAATTGACAGTGAATAGCAGGTCCTTAGGATTGTAATTGACTTCTTGTTTTTTGTTCAGTATAACATGCATCCTGCAGTGGGCCTCTTACAAGGAGGAACCTTTGTGTCCTCAGTGTAAAAATCCATTTGAATTTCTGAATAGCCATCGCTCACTTGATGGAAGGTATTTCAACACTTCACTCAATTTCCAGCTCCCTTTTCCTTTTCGCTGAGCTGATCAATGCCTGTGAGAATTTTCATCCTTAATTGACTAATTATTGAAATTATATTTGTGTAATTATTGTGAGTGAGCGGCTGTTGGCACAAATTATTTTAAAATTTGTGCTGGTTGAAAAAAATTGATTCCCCTTTTAAAATTTAAGCATAGTTATGCGATTCTCTTATACCAAATTACCGTTTATCATTGAATGTAATGCGATTTATGTCTGATAAACTGCAACTTCGATATGTCATAAGTATCCAAGTTAAACAAAGAAAAAGGTGACTAATAAATAGAGGACGGCTTTATACATTATTTAGTGGTTGCGATGTTTCAGGAATATATATACCTATAAAAAAAAAAATGTTTCAGGAATGTATAATAACAGATGATACATAGTCGAATTTGTACGTATGACTATTGGTGTCCCATATTTCAACTCAAAACCTTGATGAATAATATTAAGTATTTTTGGGGGAAAAAAAAATTATGAAATTACTTGGAAGAGGTATGCTCTCTTTTGGAATGCAAGATGTAAGAGCTTGAATATTGTAACTTTCTTGTTTCTTTTACTTTCCATCTTACATAATTGTTTGAATATGAGCAGCGTTCACCATTATATGTTCGAGGAGAGTGTATTTCTTCTTCTAGGGGCCACATGGTTTAAGCCTTTGATTGTGGTGGATCAAGAGGAGGTGGATGTTGTAGCGGAAGATTATTATTATTATGAGGATGATGGGGAAGAAGATCTAGATGATGTTTACTTTGGCAGTTCATCAAATCTCCGCATTGGTAACCGGAGATGGGGAGACAATGGATATGTTAGGGGTGGACGGCAAGAAGCAAGACCAATTCATAGGCCAAACTTCCAGGATTTAGGTGCTGGTCCATCTCATCGGCCTAAAAGGAAAGAGCCTGCTAGAGAAATGGTTGGCCGACGTGCAAAAAGGGCATTGAAACGGGAAGCTGCTGACAAGGCTGCTGCAGCGAAGCATGAGCGACATTTGATGAGGTTAGGTCATAAGTCTGGCTGAGTGAACAAGCTTCTCATAGCCTGGGACCAGGCACTTTGTATAAAATATTTAATTGACTGAGAGAAATAAGGATAGTAGATACTTAGGTTTACTTACAAAAATGGGCTGTATCTTGTATGTTGCCCCTGCTGTACCCATCAAGATTAAATTGCTCAAGTACTGTATATTAATTACTTGTTTAAATTATATATAATATATACCCCTCTTCATGTTTAATATTGATAGATTCATCAGTTCTAAACTTTGGATTGAATGGAATTTTATGCTAAAAAAAATTGGAAGTAGTGTCATGCTAGCTGGATCTCGATTCCACCCCAAAAATGCAAGATTTTAGGGATTTTTGTAGTTAGGATCTAATAGTACTGGATAGAAGAAAAAGACAGCTAAAATCTTGTACGATATACCATTAAGTCCTATTCAATACCATGTCTGTTCCAAACATGCCCTCATAGATTTCTTGGTTCCCTGTTGTCCAATCTAACGTCCTCATGAAGCTAATATTGTTGATTATGCAAATAATAATAAATTCAGACGCTTCCTCAAACGGAATGTCATGTAGGATATAACTCAGGTTTGGTGTGTCTGAGGACATGTTTGGTAAGGTCAATTATATGTTGCTAGACAACGTTGTATTTTCTTATGAATTTGTCTAGTGGTACATAATGGGGTGTACCGAATGGTGTACACCCCACTCACATGGGTGTGAGACCCATGTGAAAGAAATGATATTTTATTCGAGTGGGTCCTCACCCATGTGAGTGGAGTGTACACTCTTAGGTACGTCTCGATGTACCACTAGCAAAACCTTTTTCTTATACTCATGATACATGCAGTCAATGTTCAGTTGTCTTGACA